GCCATGTTCTTTACATGATGCACTGTATATGTGAGCTGTTAAAACTAATTAATTAATTGTACAAACATTCTCTAATTGAGCAGCTGAATGCTGAACCTATATCTGAAATCTGCCACGTAAGTGCTCTGAACTACGGCTGCAACTAATGATTATTTTATTAATCAATTTTTCTGTAGATCTTTCTGAGAGTTAATGGGATAAAAATTGACACGTTCTGCAGGTGTTTTTGTTTAACCACTTAAGCCTTTGTTACACAATATTTTAAATGCATTAAAAGATGGATTCAAACAATTCGGTTCATTTTTTTAAAATAAGAAATTAGCATTTTATTGCCTAAAATTCAACAACACGCTTTACCGAACGCTTGATCGTTTGTATTAAAGGATGCATCTGCAGCTAAAAAATACGTCTAACGTCAACATGTGAAAAGCTCAGCCCTTTTCTGCTTAACCCAACATCAATACAGTGCTTGGCTGATTTGTTGATTATTTTTATTTGGTATTATTATTGGCTTGCAAAGGGTTCTTAATAGGAGTTTTTTTTACACACAATTTGACCCAGGTGAAGTTAAAACTTTGCCACTTGAGAATTCTGGGTAGAACATATTTACAGACAAAGAAGGTCTTTATATCTTAATTGCAAAATGTGTACATTTTAATAGATTTTTTTTTTTTTTGCAGTTTTGGCTTAATTGCAACTCTGCCTGTTTTATCATCTTTATATTCTATTTAATGATTAATCAGTTACTAAATTACGCGATGATTATTTTAACAATCAATTTATCATGATTAATCGGATTAATTGCTTCAGCCCTACTCTGAGCAGTATCGGTGTGTTTGCGTTGGGTAGGTGGTGTCTCTGCGTGAGGAGGAGCGGAAGCTGCAGCTGGCGCTGGCCGAGCTGGAGATGCAGCTGGACGAGCAGCAGCGGCTGGTGCAGTGGCTGGAAAACGCCCTCGACCGCGCGCAGCTGGACACAGACCGGCGACTCACGCAGCAGCAGAAGGAACACGAGAGGAGCATGCAGCTGCTGCTGCAGCAGTGTCGAGGTAAGAGCCACACCCAGGGCTACAAAAACTATCAGAAATCCTTCCGAACCGTCCACTCGCCAAGAGTGGACATTATAATCACTCCTATTGCTAAAAAACATTTTTTGAAAAACATTTTTAATTTAAAAAAAAAAAAAAAACACTTTTGAGATGCAAAGCCTGTAAAATAAAGAAATAACTCAAATAGAACCTCTCTGACAGCATGAAGTAGACAAAAAGGTTATAACATTCCCCAATCTAAAGACAATCCAAGAACAGATTAGAAATAAAGTCACTGACTCTTTCACTCTGGAAAAAGTGTGTTTGTGCCAAAAACACAAGTTTTTGATGATGACTTATCGAACTGATAAAATAGCACTTCAGAACATCATGCTGACAGTCAAACATGGTGGTGGCAGTGTGATGGTCTGGGACTTTGCTGCTGCTACTGAACCTGGATGTCTGTAACCATGAACTCTGTACTCGAACCAAAATGTCCTGCCATCAGATCCTGACTTTGGAGATTGAGCACATTTGAGTTATTCAACAGGACGATAATCTAAAGCACACCAACAAGTTCACCTCTGAAGCACTAAACAAAATTAGATTTTAGTTTCTCCTTGTTAAATGGAATTGAGGTGCTGCAGCATAATTTCAAACAAGCAATTTATCCTCCAAAGTTTGACTGAATTAAAGCATTTCTACAAATCGGAGTGGACCAAAGTTTCTCCTCGATGATGTAAAAGATTCCTTTTATCACAAATGCCTGACGGGCGTTTTTGCCACCAGGCAAAGCATAGCCATGTATTAGATTTTGGAAAATTGCTTGTTCATACTGGGCGAGGTTGGCTTAAATAGTTTTCACTTAATAAATCAAATCATCATTTAAAAACTTATAAAAAAAAATATATAAGGAAGCAAATCCAGTTTTGCCACTTTGGAAGTACATTTGAAATTCAAAGGTGAAACTAGAAATGTACTTACTGAAGTCTTTGTTTGTATGCTATGCTGTTATAGATAATAACTGTAAATCTTTATGTTTGGTCGTAAAGAACAAATGGACGAGGGCCTGGCAGGACGGCGGCGGCAGTACGAAGGACAGATCCATAATCTCACCAAGGAACTCAACCACTACAGGACAGCAAATCTGGAGCTCAGCAACAAACTGCGAGATCTCTTTGGTTCAGTCAGTCAGCCTAAAGAGCTTCCCAAAGGTAAAGTCTAAATATCAGGAACACAGTATGACACTAGTCCAAATGAAGGATTGCTGCTTTGGCTAGAAACGCTTCACATGTTTCTCGGTACATTTCACAAAGGCAGTTTACTGGTGAAGCAACATTTCCAATGTAAACAATCATCAGCTTCTCGGTAAATTATGCAAACATTGAAGACAGTTTAGAGGTTCATAAAATAATGGAAATGAAAGTATTTTTAGGACAGATCACTTTGGTTGTGATCTTAGATTAGCTGTTTGTTTTGGCCTCTGCAAATAACCCGTCTGGATTTACAGTTAATCTTTTAACTATCTTTGAACGATCTATGTAACCAGATAAAGATAACTGCTCCAGATAAGCAGACTTTTAGCCCACAGTCTCTATTGCATGTGATGATTTTCTGCTCCTCCTAACACTTTACCTTTGCACTGTCTTTCAGTCTTAGCCTCCGATGCCAAACCTACAAACCTGGGCAGCCGAAGCCCTGAGGACGGTTCTGGAGGCAGAGGGACGGGACATCCTGACAAACCCAGCAGGTCCAGGGAGGAAATGAGAGAACTGGTGAACACCCCTCTTCCGTCCACGTGGAGGCGCTCTTCTCTCCCATCAGAGGAGCCTGCAGTCATGGAGGAACTGTGGGTTCAAGCAGCCGGAGACTCTGCTGTTAACCGTGTAGTTCAGACGGGGATAGGGACCTGGGGCCCGCAGACCTCCGTGCCTGCTGTTAAATCCCGCAGAGAGTCTCGTCGCTCCAGCCTCAACTACGCACAACAGCCATCAAGCAACGTGTTGATTGACGTACGGAAGAATCCTGTATGAGTCGAACTGAATCCACAGTGAAACTTTCCCTTTTGGTGGCTGAATTATGTTAAATTTGCTATTCTGTTTTGGTTTTTTTTTATTCTGTTTTGTATTATGTTTTCAAAGGAAATTCCACTGATTTTTCTGCAAAGCACTTTTTCTTAAAATAAAATTGTTCTCATGCTGATATTAAGTCTATGTACTTACCATGTTTATAGTTTTCTGACTTTTTTTAACATTGTAGTATTTTTTATATAAAAAAAAAAACATTGAACACATCTTGGGCTCGCCTTATGTTTCTTACAGATTTTTTTAAAAAGAAATATATCCCTGTGTACATAGACAGTGGATATGAAAAGTCTCCAGATTTCTGTTAGGTTGTTATAACAGAAAAAATTAGTGGAGAATGAATCATTTTAAAACATTTTTGTGACATTTATCCTGCACCAAAGCAATTTTATTAAGATAAATTTAATTGTCTTTGGTATTTAGAGATTTCAGTCAGACCTGGATGCCTTTTTTAAACAATCATTGATTACTTTCTTTAATGCTTTACAACATTTTTTTTCTAAAACATTTTCCAGTCATATTGTTCTCATTTGTACATTTGTAACATCTTCAAACTATGACTCTAGCTGAAAGGATGCACATTTCAGAAAAATCTTCCCAATACAGCTGAATTTTATTCACTGAAAATTAAATTATTTTTAATTGGGTAGATTTGAAATTAAGAAGACTGAACAATGAAAGTGAATCAAAAGGTGAACCAGTTGTTTCAGTGTCTTCTGTTTGTTTTTTTGCCTTTTTTTATTCATTTAAAATAAGACAAAAAATAATTTGACCTAACAGAATAGCATACGGTCAGAATACTGTTTTGTGCTAGACTAGTATCCAGACTAACCACTAGAGGGCAGTACAACAGTGCTGAGCTCTTTTACGTCTTTGTTTTACTATTCTTCACACAGACAGGATTCCTAGTTTTATCCTTTGTACCAATTAAATTCGTAGTCCTTTTTTATGTTTGGTGTTTGATTTAAAAAAATAATATAATATAAAATATGTACTACGTGCAACCATATTTACTTCAAATCAGTGTTGACAGAAAGTATGCTGGGAAAAACAACACAAAACATGTAGTATTTTAAGGCGGCAACATCTGGAGCTTAAAATGAAGTTGGATATATTATTTCAGCCAGTCTATTTCCTCTGTGAAACTTTTTCCACATTATTATTATGTTACAGCCTTATTCAAAATAAAATTAATATCTTATCCCAAAATCAGACATCGCTCTATGACGATGTGGAAAACAATTTAGAGATTTTGGGGACTAATTTAAGGAATAAATTTAGCAATACTTATTGTTGAAATAATCTTCCCTGAAAGCAATTTTTATAGATAAATGGAAGGCAGAGAGACAGACTGATTATGTAGAATCAATATAATTGGGTAATGTACACAAATGCATAAAACATAAAAAAACACGCTTCTATGAAGTACCGCTAGGTGGCGACATATTCTGGGTATATTATGGTCCAGTTTGGCGAACATCATCTTCTTGTGGTTGCATTGAGATCAACGTGTTCATGGAAACGCCGTTTATTATCTGCAGACGCACTGATACACGAATAGTAAAATTCATGGATGTTGGCCATTTGATTTCAACCAAATATTCATGTAGTTATGTCTGAAAAAAGAGGATCTGATTCTTTTGCATGAATCTGTTTTTCGCTCATCATTTAATTGGTTCACTTGCATGCGACCATACACGTTAAAATTATATCCCATATTCCCCGCCAACGCAGCTCCAAAACACGCACCGACGCACCGAAGAGCTCCATTCCCATTGGTTATCTTCAACCTACAGACCGCGTGGCGTCAGCAAAGGGAGGAGGAAGTGTTAAGAGGAGAAAAGGCAGCAGGGAGGTGAGAGGGGACCACTGTGAGTCTGTCAGGGGGGGGGGCAACATCTCAGCCTCAGGACCGGAGACCGAAGCGCACGTTTGGACACGGGGCGGATGAAAAGGTTCGCCATCCGCACGGAGCATCCCGCTCTCTGACGGAAACCAGATCCTCCTGATGTGGTTACATTAGCGGGAAGATGTCTCACTCACAGCCCCATTATGCAGCCGTGCCGCAGATGATGAGAGGGAGGGGGAGATTATCGATCTGATCCACGCCGGGACTCACCTGTCTGTCAAAGCAGGTGTGGACAGAGAAACTGGAGGCTGGAGAAGCGCCCTGTGGATGTTTTTATCTCCTGGATGCAAAGGACGCTTCGACAAACCCTGAAAAGTGAGCTGTTTGGATTATGTGGTGTTTATTATTGTTCCCATGCGTTTAAATTTACGTAGACATGTCTTTTACTCCCAGATGTATCAATTTGAATTATGTTTAACATGTTTCGCCTACTGGTTGGTGTGTAAATTTTTCATTTTTTATTTTGGATCTGATATTTGAGTTACGGTTTGTCCTGTTTAACAAAGACAACTTTGGACAATTCAAAGAAACCCAGCAGGCCTTTTGTGTTTTATTGCTCTCTGTCAATAACGCTAACTTTGCACCAGAGCCTGGCAATTATAAACGCCACTTTATTTAAGCAAAGTCAATACTTACAATGTGGCCTGTTGCGGAAATTTTTGTTATTGTACGATTGGCGGAAATTTCTTTATTTGCTGATATTTGTCAGTGTTTTCACTCAGCTATGCAAAGAAAGTGACGCAGCCGTTGTTAGTGCATCTATTCTCCAATTAAAACATCTGACGTCAGACGCTCTGACCTAAAGAAGCGTCAGATCATCATGAGGTTAATTTTTTGAGTTTACATTTGTAATCTAAAGCTGTGCAGGGGAATGACTGTGCACTAAAGAAGATGAATATTTTTAAGGGTGAAAAGTTCATGATTCTACAAACCAATACGGCCTTATGTTGAAATGTCATTATTGGTTAAATTAATGGCAGCAATAATTAGAAATGCTTAAAAAATCATTGTGAAGAGGTATTGAAACAGGATTAATTGATGGAGTTCAACTTTAATGTGGATGATTTGAGATTTTATTTCAACAGTTTAGCAGTACAATAATAATAATAATAATAATAATAATTATAATAATAATAAATCCAGCCACTACAAGTTTTGTTCTGTTCCTGAAACTGAGATTTTCACCAATAATTGTAGTGCTTCTGTATTAAAATTTTCCTGACAGAATTAACTAATAGGCTCAAACCTGCAGTAACGTCGTTCATTCTGTGATTTTCCCAGGAAGCCTCAGTTTTTCCAGTTTGCTGCTCTGACGAATGAAGGAGCCTGTTCCTGTCTTTGGTTATCTAGCTGTATGAGTGTAAACTCTCCATCATAAAGCTAGATAACCGAAAGTAGGAATGACCTCCAAGGCTTCAGACCCTTTAGCTCATGTGAGAGGAAACCTGGGAAAAGGGAAGAAGCATCACATGATGTGTCCAGGTAGGTCTTTATTTGTAGTATCGATAAATAAATGAGTGATTATTTGTCTACGTGTGTGTTGAAAAGAATAGTATATTTGTATGTATAATTTTCTCTCTTTTTTTTGTCAAAATAAAAAGTTGTGATTGAAACCAATTGGAAATTAAAACCCTTTTCTCTTTCTTGATTATTGGAGGGTTACACAACAAACTAGCCGGAAAACTGCAACAGTTGAAATTCCTTAATGTCTCAACCTGAATGTTTTAAGCAACCTATTCCTGTCAAAACGTGTGTGTGTATATGTGTGTATATATATATATATATATATATATATATACATATACATATATATAGGTCAGCCTCCATCGCTGTGAGGAAATGCTCCAGGTTGTATGTTTCTGACTCATTCTGACCTCACTGCTATCTTTAAAATCATTGTGCTGCATTAGACCAAAAATGAATGTTTTTTGGTTCATGATGATTATTTTTAATATTAAAGCCTGATGAGCAAATTCAAATGCTTCCTGCCTTGGGTTTCTCCCACGGTGAGATCTTCCTCACTAGGGACTTTAGCTTCCCACTAATTATTCGAGTCACATTTCTGGGGCCTCTCAAAGGCCAGTCTGTGAGTCACTGCAGAGCTGCCACTGAAAGCTGAACAAAAACTGACAAAGCTGGTATTTTGATGTGACATTTTGATCATGTGATTCATCCCTGTGGTTTTCCCTCTCAGAAGGTTCACAGCGATTTTACACTGCTAATGGCTGATAAATTATTCTATTAAAATCTGCATGTCATCAGTTCAAATTAATGTTGTGCTAAATGGTTATAAAGAAAATAAAGATACATCACTGCAGTGTATGGCTCCAATGTGACATAATGTGAAAGAGCTCAAAGAAAAAATACACGCAAGGCACTGATGTCCTATGAAAGAAAGAAATTATTATATTATTGCTCATGTCTTTCTTTGTTTTGTTGTTGTGTTTCTTTTTTTAATCCAAAGACTGTTGGCTTCTTAACAAAACTTGTGTAAATTTGTTTTAAAAATAGATTTAAGATGCAGATAATTGTTAGGGATATAAAAATAAATCAGAAATGACACTCGAATGTTCCCTTCCTGAACACTTTTCAAACGATTGAGTCTTTTCAAATCTATTTTAAATTGCACTGCTTACTTTTTACATCTCATTAACAACAATTGTAAATGTATTTTTGAAACACAAAACAAGAATAACTGAAATAAAGGGAGAACAAAAAAAGCAATATTGTTACTTATACAGTTCTTGTTCTGGTAAATTAACTGTCTTTGCTATTTCAAGTTATTTTGTTTTGCTTGTTTTTTTAGTCATTTATTTGAAATTTTATTGGAAGAAGAATGGAGGTGAAAAGAAAAAATGTATTTTTTATTTTACATAATCTTTTTGAAAGTTGCAAAGAAAGGAAACATGTCTACTGCAGAAACTGCTTTTATTAAAAATACATAACAAATTTAACAATTTTTAAAAATGGATTTCTTTAATTGTCCCGCATTTAAATTTCCACTGATCAGATCTTAAAAACTTCTTACTCTGTTTTTCTTTAATCACAAATGTCTAGTTTTGACAGATTTTTTTCATATTCGTATTTGTTTCTTTCTTTCTTTCTTTTTTTTTTTCTTGTGAATAAATGTGAGGATAAAAATAAAACATACAGCGCGGGAAAGCGTTTCTAACCCTAAAAGCCTGAGCTCAGGTCAATAAAGTACGGCACGATCCTGCAAAGTGAGTGCTGTAAACAAAGCAGTGTTCTTCATCATTCTGCGTTGGAAACTGTAAACTGGAGATACTGGAGCAGTCTGGAGGCGGAGGTCCTGGCCGCGGCGCGCAGGACTGTTTCAGCCCGTTTATCTGACGCAGATTTGTGGGTTTCTCCTGCAGATCCCATCACGAGGGACAAAACGCTGCCAAGAAAACCCCAAAAAACCCAGGACTGCCTGACAACGGTGTAAAATAAAGGAAACAAACTCCAGCCGATAATGAAAAGGAGGCAGACAAGCTGGGCTCATTAACATAATTGCATAGAAACTGGGAGCAGGCCTGTTTAAAGGCGCAGCGGCGGCGGCTCGCTGCATCACCAATCACACAGCTTCATGCTTTAAAGCTTTACACTCAAATTCACCGCGAAGCCTTTTTTTTTTTGTTGTTGTTGTTTTAGTCTTCCTACAATGACTTTACTTTTTTGTTTCTATCACGATTTAAATAAAGCTCGTTTTAGCTGCTTGGAAACGTAATGGGGGGACTGTTCCTTTATTAGGAAGCAGGCTCTAATTAGCCATGCAGCCTGGGGGAAGGCTTACAGCGAAGCTGCTAATGAGCGATGCACACATACCTGCCTCCAAATGAAGTATGTAATTTCTTAACGTGTAGATTTCTGTCATCAAGATTTATTCTAACGCCATGTTTGTAATTGTTTGTAGATTTATCAAATCCTAAACCACTGGGTTTAAAAGAGAAGAAAACGGCCTATAAACGCCTTACATGCACCTGCAGCTTTGGCTGAGTCTGTGCTCTGGGTCGGTGTTTGGTGCTGCAGCTGCAGGAGACCTGTTGGCCTGTTGGTAAACACACTGTCCAGGGCCCACATTATAATTCTGATCCTGGCTTCTCGCCACAATGGCTGCTTTTGTGAATGGAGCACTTGACAAAGGTCTGCCACTTCTCCTTTCCTGTGTGTGTGTGTGTGTGTGTGAGAGAGAGAGAGAGAGAGGCTGGTGCAGTAAACACTGGGCACAGGTGGGAACCTCGGTCCAGACCAGACAGCAGATGCTTGCAGTAGAACAGCAGCAATCAGAGCAGTTCCTGGAAAGTTGTTCCTTTGTGTTCCTGCAACTGCCTGTGTGTGTGTGTGTGTGCGTGTGTGTGTGAATGTGAAGAAATGTGGTGTTTTATAGCAGAGATACTAAAGCAGAATGTGTTCAGTATGTGAAAAAAGGTACCTTCCTTAATATCTTAGTTTAATTCTTACATAAACATTTCTCAGTACTGATAAAGAAAACTTGTTCAGTATTATGTTAGTATATTAGATTTTACTAATTATTTTTTTCAGAAAGCTTTAATTCAAGAGTTTAGTAGCCTTTTAAACAATAAATTTTTTGCTTTTTTGTTGTTGTTGTTGTTTTTTTTTTTTGTTGTTTTTTTTTTCAAATGCAAAGCACAGATAATGTAATGGTTCCACTGCAGGATGATTGTGGTCCAAATATCAGTACAGGAACTTCAGAGTAACGATGACAGCGAGCTTCTCTCAGGCAGGACTCTCCACCTCTGTTTCCCTTTTAAAAAAAAAAAAAAAAAAACCACTGCAGCTGTGATCCCATCTTAGTCTGGGGATAAACATGATTATCCTGCTATGGCTTGTTCTTGGCTTTGTAGCAGCGACAGGGGACCTTTGAGAGCGCCAGTTTTCCCATGGTTGAGTGGGTCTGAGCAGCTAAACCCCTCATGTGGACCAGTCGCAAAATATGAGCTTTAAACCAGAGCAAACAGGCAGACAATGCTGCATCTGTAGAGACATGCAGCTATTAAGCTGCAGCTTCTTAAAACATTTGTCTCTAAAGATCCTGCTGATTTAATGTTGAGCTTTGAGTGTGTGATATATTTCACACTTTACCAAAAAGTAATCAACCTTTGAAATAGTTTTAGTAACTACCAAATTCCTTTCTTTTCTGGTTCTTTCTTCATAAAGGAAACACAAGCGGGCCATAGCAGTTCTAAATTTAAGAGGATGGAGTCATCAAAAAGTCTTCTTTTCTCCAGTATGCAAATTGTTAATTTACAGTACATAAAAAATATTTTTAATTGATGGAAAAAAACTAAATTAAATATTTAGAGCATTTCAACACCAGAAAATGGAGAGAGAAAAAAAAATCCAAAAGTTGAAGTCAAGTTATAATGGAAGTGCAGGTAAAATATTAATTTTGCATATTGCTTCTGTTTAATTGGAAACCAAAAAAAATTAACTTTTGCTATATTGTGTTATATGGTAATGCAGTTAAGCAAAAAAAACAAAAAAAAAAAACATCCTAAAACACAGATTTCTCTATTTTTGAGATGTCCAGAAGAGCCTTGAATAAAATTAAGAAAAAATTTAAAATAAACCCACAAAAACAGAATTTGTTTAAATTCTGTATCATGTGTTTCCACAAAAAAATCTTGTTTTTTTAATTGAAGTTAGCGGAGTAAAACTGCCTTCACTTAGTTAAAAACAAATTAAAGTTTCCATATTTTTATGTTATTTGTATCAAAGCCAAAGTTGTGCAAAAATAAAATATAAAACAGAAGGTTTTAACGTATTTAATTCTTTCTTCACTGTTTCTGCAGCTTTTGTCCAGAAGTTTTTTCTTTGTGTTTGATAAATCACACACACAAAAAAACATCCACAGTCATATAAAGTTTGTCAGATGAAACTAACCAAAATAAAACAGTTCCTCATTCACAAATGAAGAACAACGATTCAAATTAATAACATTAAAACCGAGTCATTTAGAGCAACTTTTTCCCAGGAGAGAATTTCCATTTCAACCCGCCGGTCGTTCATTATGACAGTCAAGTTCAAGTTCAGAGGAGCAGAAACGTCTCGACTCTTCAGACTCTGCCGTCGCTCCACCCTAACACTCCCCTCCTTCTGCGCTCTGCGATGACTCCGTGGCGTTACCATGACACAGAGGCTGTGGTGTTGTTATGGCAGCGGGCTGGACGGCCCGGCTATGCGCTGGTGAAAAGGACAGCCTGTCAGAGAGACCAAGAGAGACTCGGGGACCCCCACCCCATCACAACCCAACAGCTGGGCACAGTCCCCCACCTCCCTGCCACCTCCTCTTAGAGCTACCCACCCTCAGGCTTTTCAAACAGCACCCAGGCCCTGGGAACAACTAAACATTTCACATTCATCATTCTCTCTCTCTCTCTCTCTCACACACACACACATCTCAACCTGCTCCTAAATCAACTATTCGTCCCTAAAATCCAGCCCTTAATGTAATGTCACACTTCACCTTCAGCCATAACACTCCCACACACTGAAATCCTCTTTGTCTTTTCTTTCTACCACCTGCGCTCCGTAATAAATATTTCAAATTCGAAACACATAAAATTTGAACAAGGCTGATATTTAAGTCCTTTTACTAACTCACTTTGTGTGTGCATGTGCATGTGCGTGTGTGTGTGTGTGTGTGTGTGTGTGTGTGTGTGTGTGTGTTTGTGGGAGCAAAAGAGATTTAGTTGAGGTCTCATTCAAGTTTGAGCTTGAAAGGCTGGACATTTGCATAAACTGCATGCTGTCTGAGGGTGTGTGTGTGTGTGTGTGTGTGTGTGTGTGTGTGTGTGTGTGTGTGTGTGTAGGGGGGGGAGTGTCTCTGAGAAAAGATATGAGAGAACATGAAGAAAAACGGGGGACAGCAGAATCCTGCCTTGTGAATCTGAAGAAGAAAGAGGAGGTTTGAGTAACAGAGAGGGTGAAAATTGGTAGAGAAAGAGACTTACCATGTCCCCCAATGGGATTAAAATGTCCTGGACCCTTTTTTTTTTACGTATAATTTGGTGAATCTGGCAGCAGCATGGCTACGGGGCCGGGGTGGCCCAGGGCTCATATGAACTGACAGGAGCCATGCGTAAAATATGCTAGTTTTGTTTGCGTCAACTAACTTATTTCTGCATGCTGGCAAACGACGATTATTCCTACCAAGTTAGATCATTTGCACTAAAAGCTTTTCCTCCTTTTGTTCTGTAGCTAAAACAGCGATGAGCCTCAACCCAGCCATGGTTCAGAATGAGAGGATCAGCACATCTTCCACCAACACGCTGGGATCTGACGGCTCGTCTGAAGGTGACGAACACATGGAGCCGAACTCAGACTGAACAGTTCAAACAGCCAGTAATATAAAGACGCAAAAATGAAGCGAAGCTTGTAAAGTTAGTTATGTATAATTTTTCATGTGAAATGTGATAATGCAGGTTTATTGCTGCAAAATATATATTTTTAAACTATTAGATTAGCCTGGACGACTTAAAATCATGTTCGATAGAAGAAAATATGTGTCTTCAGGCTCAACTTAGATAACTTTTATATTTAAATGGTGTTAATAGACGTGATATCCTTTTTTTTTTTTCAAAACAAAATGCTGAAAAGTGGATTGTTTATAATGTAATGCAAGCTGTCCAGTTATTCATGTCTTCAATAAAACAGACTAAAACCAACAATGTAGGTGTGATTATTCCTGGTTTTACAGGCATCATGAAGCTGGTTTGCATCAGCACCTTGGACAGAGGCAGACAGAAAAGTGTTGCAGGTTTTGAGCCAAAGAGCTCAAATGATGAACAACAGAGCAAGAAATGACAGATCCTTCATGCCAAAGTGTGTGAAGGCATTTGTTACATCACTGGGATGATTCACGTATAAAAATCAAATGTAACAAGAGTCGAAAAGGGTCCATTTAGTTATTACAGACCTCATCATTTCTGCACTGGTAAGAAATGATAATAATAAAAAAAATTCTTATTCCACCAGTTAATGTAACCAGGAAGGAAATCTGTGACAGCTCTAGTATTAGTCTTTAACGTGTCGCTGCTTAAAGTTCAGACACCATTATTATCCTGCTGCTGGTCAGAAGGTCTTGACCTTTTGGTCTGCTGGGACACAAGTTGACCTGAGACAAACCAAGACACGTGCGCTTCATGCAGAGAGACTCATCTTATTCAAGCAACTGTTAAAAGTGAAAATATTAAAAAATAAAATACAACAGCCAAGCTTTAAAGCAAAAGAGGTGACTTTTTGATAGCACTTTGAGGGTTTTAAGTAAATTTCTCCAGAATTTAGGAGTAACAACTGGATCCGTGATGTGTTTTTTATTTGATTCGGGTTGGTATGGTTTAATCTATTGGCTTTATTTTAGTTTTTTTTTCTCATTATGTTTAGATTTAGAGATCTTTATGTTTTAGAGAGAATTAGAGATCACACACAGCATTTGGTTCAACAGAGTATATAGTCTGCATCTGTCCAGCCGAGATTCTCACTCTCTGCAGACAAAGATGAATGTTCTTGTTAGCTTATGAAGTATGTGAGGAGTCGGGATATTTACCATGTGGCAGAAGAGCAGTTAACTAATTGCACTAAATTTAACAACACTGTGCGTGTCTCATGTGTCACTCTGAAAAGCAGGAAGTGAGACGTTACAGGGAAGTCGCTCATGAATGACGAGCAGGCCGCTGCAGAGCCGGCTTGTGTCTGCGGACGGCCGCGCAGGGTTGTCCGGTCATTTATATCTTCCAACTGAGTGAGCTTTATGTCTTGTTCTCTGCGTTTGCATGAGAATAGAATCAGGTCCTGTGAACTTCCCCAACCTATTGACCCAGCTCCCTAGACATGAATGGCGCTGCTTTGAGGCTCCACAGCCTCTCAAACAGGCTTTAACCATGCTTTAAGTCCCAATCATGGTAATTTAATATATCTTAAGCCTCTGGCTGTTGGGCTGGAGCCCCTCCGCTGTTTGTTTTAGGCCTTTTCTGCTTCTCACCTCATCATCCAGTCTCAACGCTTAATTCAAGAGGTTGCTGCGGTACTCTGCCAGCTCACATACTTAGGAAATTTATGCATTTGTTTTGTTCCCAAATAGACGTTTTATATTGAAAAGAAGAGGGAGCTAGTGAGGGTAATAGATCGGAAAAGAATCATGAAACCAATCAACTCATGATAACAGACATGTTGCATTTCACCATATTTTTTAATACTTTGGAAATCATCAACTTTTGTAACGACAGAGTATATATGTACCAAAGACAGAAGGATGAAGACTCAACTTTACATTAAGAACAAAATGTTTTTATGTGGGTTTTTATTGATGAAAGTGAAAATATTGAAGTTGTTACAGGAGGAAAATGTATGGAGGTAAATTTGACTGCTGCAGTGTTTTCAGTTTATATCACCTTTGGGAAAAATTATTTTTTTAATCGATGTTCTGCTTTTTGTTTTTGATTTTTTAGAGAAGATGTTACATTATAATCTTCTTAGTAATAATTTGAGTGTTTTTATTGGCAGTCAAACCCTTCTTACAATTGTTGACCAGCTTTTTGCATGTTACTACTCATATTTTGATCAGCTCTACATCTTTGAGAAACGAATGGCTTTAACCTTTAGCTCCTTCCTCAGAGTCTTTGCCAGACTGAAGTCCAACTCTTCCCTCCAACTTGTTGGCACGTCAGAACAAATCTGTTGATCAAAGCAAAAGATTACTTTAAACTAAATCTGCAAGGGATACGATACATTTTGTATGAAGAAATAACAAGAACTTTCAATCTTTTTAAACTTCTATAAGAAATTATAGGTATGATATTGGGACATAAAATCAGTACCAGAACTGGTATTACTACCAGAATCCAGTACCAATAAAATAAACTAGTAGCTGATATTTTAAATTTAAAAAAAGAGGTCCTGCAAATGTTTTACAGTTTAATTTTTCACATGTGATGTGTCTCTGAACACATCTTTCACAAAGAGAAAGGATACACTCGTAAATTTATTCAATACAACTTTTTGCAGCCATCTAATAAAAATTCAACTGAATCTAGCTATTCCATATACCTCATACATCTTATAAAAACACAAGTCTCCATGTGTGACCAGTAGTCTCTTAAAAAAACCTCAACAGTAGGGATAATTTAAATGGGTTTCAAACGTAAAGTCGTCAAGAAGGAGATGAAGTCACCTGTCTTTGTTCATGCCAGGACTCTTAAATATAACATTTAAAACTGATGCTTTAAACACTTAATAAAACTGTGAATGTATAACTTGTTAACTTGAAAAACAACTCAAAAGTGAAAGAAAAACAGCAGTTACTACTCTAATTGCAGAATTGTTTTTCTATAATTATGAGCTATAGAAAAGGTTTATTATTATTATTATTATTATTATTATTATTATTATTATTATTATTATTATTATTATTATTAGTATTATTATTATTAGATATGTTTGTGTAAAGAAAAGAGAGAGTTAGTGATAATGTAATGTTGCTGCTGTAGCACCCCCTGCTGGGGAAATGTTGCGATCTGTTGCATCATTCACAACCCCCTTAAAGCTGTTTTAATGTCTCCCTCTGCAGAAGCAGACATGCAAACAGTGAATGTTGTTTGTTTGACTTAGAAAGTAGACGGTAAAAGCGCTACAAAAGGACTTTTACTTCCCCGTTAAAGCCGGTGATTTCAATGTGGGCAGACATACCTGGTCAAATTTGAATTTATTTTTTGACTCTTCAAACAACTGACAGAAACTTCTTAATAAATAGTGCATAAAGATGCACCAATCAAATTTGGTAGTTGTGTTATGTCCTATTGCAGATTTTTCTAACGTTTCAAAGAGCTTGAAACGTTAACATTAATGCTAATGAGCATTAATAGTTCCCACTATTAATGCTCATTAGTTATTAGGAGCATATAGCATTGCATCATGTGGGTGAGAAGGATTCCCTAAAAAACAGGATTTAAGTAATATTCTAAAGCAAAGTTTCTGATTATAGCAGTTTTTAATACATGTGATACATTCAGCCTTCTTGTCATCTGTTGTAAAGTCTAACTCTCCCTCAGGTAGCAGGATGAATGAATAACCAACAGGTTTTCATGAAAAAGACAAATACCATACTGATTCAGATTTTCTTCCTTCAGTGATAACTTCCACACCGAAGTGTGTCGATGTTCCCGCAAACTAACTGATGGGAAAAATAGCAGATTTTTTATTTTCCAACTGGTCCACAGAGCTGAAAATTATGCCAGTCTGGTCACCAGACAACCTGACACAAAACTATAAATAAAAAAAAAAACAGTTTCAATTTTGTGTCATTTATGCAGCTAAATAGCTTTAGATACATTTCTTTTATTAAGAACATTCCATGACTTAAATGCAAATTGGTAGTGTGGCCCACATGTTTAAATGCTTCTCTTTATCCAATGAAAGCCTTGTCAAAAACAAGCTGATGTATCTCAAAGATGCTGAGAATCAAAGATTTATTCTTATTCCACAGTGCAGAGTGCAGGACCCTCTCTGCTGCCTGTTTCACGCTTTCTTTGAAGAATATTACTGCTGCCCTTCTGGATCGCTGATGAACTATTGGATGCTTTCCCAGTTGAAGAGACGGGACTGGTCCTGAAACAAGGACCTCATCAAAGCTTAGCAAACAAAAGCCTTACAGCTCAGCAGATACGTAAACCACCAAGCTGATAGATTTGTTCAAGACAACAAAGCATGCGTTTGTTTCTTTTTTTCCTCTGGTCCTAATCAAGGCATCTAATTAACACGCCTTCTTTTCAAATAGTAGCAATTATCAGTGCAAACTTTGATGAGGTGGAATCCATTGCATTGCTGGCTGTGTGTTTGACAGCAATGCGAGTCTCTGATCTGCTTGACTGAACAGCCAAAGCCTCGTTTAGTTCGCTTTGCCAAAAACTAACTGTTTGTACATTATAGTGCTAAAAAATTAGGCATACACACGGACAACACTTGCACTTCTTGGCACATTTATGCATAATTTGTCCATTATTAACTTAGTTAGAAAACATATTTTAAAAGTAAAAAGATAACTGTATGGACTCAGGTCAAACTGTCCGGCATGTGCAAGAAATCCTGAGTAAGGTTTTAAATCTCACAGATTTTAAAACATTACTACAGCAGCCTGCTGCTCTGGGTTGAGTTATATTAACAGGTTTGAACTGAGCTGAGGTTTAAGGTGTTCCACAGGGTTTGACTCTTCTTTTTCTCTTTTTTGCACTCTTCTTTTCAGCTTCATCTTTAGAAAACTTTGCATTAGTTTTGGTTGTTATGCTGATAAGCTCTGCTCTGTTTATGTAAGAAGCTGATCAGTTTCTGGGGCATTGAGCTTCTCTTATGAAGTCCAACAAGACTTCTAGATTTCAACTTTCTAATTTAAATAACAGGGAAATAGTTGTTTGTTTGTTTGTTTGTTTGTTTGTTTGTTTGTTTGTTTGTTTGTTTTTAATTAAAAATAAAGTATACAGTCATTAAATTACCCAGTCATCATTAAGGACTTACAATCTATCAGAGGTGTGAACTAGAGATCAGCACTAACTCATCAAAAACCTGGAAAAAATAAACACTTTTAATATTAAACATAAAGTCTTTAAGGTACAGAGTTGTATCGTTTTTCAAGACATACATATATTTTTGAATGCATAAATAGTTTAGAAGCCAC